ACCATTGCCATTGATTGGTGTGCAGTAGTATCTGAGCATTGTTCATTACGAGTGAAATCTCTCTCAGATGCACAGAACATCGTTGCAAAAAAATGTGTAAGGATTTGCCTGAAGTTACGTATTTGATCTAGTAATTTCAGCTGCACAAATATTACCTCAATGTAGCTGTCAGCACATGTGTATTGAAAATTAGTACTCCTTACATTCAAAGTACTTGGCATAACCTCTTAAATTAATTAAATTAATATATTATGGATTTGATTGCAAACAGGAATAATAAGAAATTTTAAGATGGTCGGTAAGATAGTATGATATATATTGTATATATACACACATATATATATATATACTTAATCATGCTTTTATGGCCTCAACAGCTAATACAGACTTTTTACTCCTGCATGACTTGCCTGTATTTCATAAATATTTTTACTTTGTTTAGCTTTTAAAATTTTAATTCATACTAGCTGCTAGCAATACAGAAATAAAAAAAAAAAATATATTTAAGCCTATATATAGTTGTTCCTTAGAGCTTGTGACATTCCTATGTTTGTCCAATGATCATTTACATCAAATTTCTTTTTGTTATACATGAGGCCATGTATGTGTATATGTATATGCATATATGTGTGTGTCTGTATACATATATGTGCATTTTGAATATGGCTGATAACATGAATGTGGACTTAATCAGCCATCTATGACAAACTGTCACAGGTAATTTAGCATAACAAAAGACTTTATTATATTTAATTGAATCAGGTCACTCATTAAATGAAAGTAAACTCAGGAAAATGTCAACCTTCTAATGCAAGTTATACTATTCTTATTTCAAATTGAAAGAACAGAAGTCAAACTGTAGCATTCATTTTCCAACATATTTTCTCTCCATACCACAAATAACAACAGTAACAATTTCAGTAGTTCCAACTGTGAGCTCGAATTAAATTGCACTGACATGCTGGAAATTTTATGTCATTGCAGGTAATCTATGAATAATTTCTACTCAAGGCAAGTTATAATACATGAACTATAACCTTGTTATGACTTTGTATTTCTGCACTTTTGGGCCCATCTGTTTTTCTCTACACTTGATCAACCAAGCTAAGACAACCTACGCCTGTTCTGGTGGTACAGAAAATGTTCACAAATTATAGCCATGTCACTCCACTCTAATTTTTATCTTGTCCACATAGCACAACAAATTGATTTGCTGTGGCAATAAACAGTGAAATAGTCTCTTCAGTGTCTAGTAATTAGAACTAATACTAGTAGACAAATTAAAAGGCAGCAAAACGTCTCCATCAGGCACTTATAATAACCTTCATAATACATACAGTAGATGTTGTGAAGACTAAGGTGGATAAATGAGGAGAATGCTGATTTTGGCATCCAGCTTACTTTCAGATAATTTAGCTCATCGCTCTTGGCTGACACCAGACCAAGAATAATATTAAAGAGTAATAAACTCCTTCCAGAAAACCTCTGATTCCATGGTTCACTGGTCTCAGACCTAATCTATCAATCCATTTACTGCACAGTAAAAGGTAAGAAACCCATTACAGATCTGTTACATGCCATGGCAGGTGGTATATGACAAAAACTGAATTCATCACAAACTCCAGTGCTGAGTACCCTTTTGTATCCTTTGAAGCACTAGGTGGTTACCTTACTTAGCTATCACAGCTGAAGATACTTTAAGCTTTGAAAATAAATGAAAAATTCTTGATATGAAAACATAAAAATGGTCATAAAATACTTCATTTTTCATAATATTAAGACTTCACAAAGATAGTGCTATTTTCATTTTTACAAGAAATACCAGCTTTGGAAAGGGTACAATAAGTAAAACCAGGGTAGAATTTAAAAGTCATGTCTTTTAAATGTGGCCTTTAATCTTCATTCTCTGCTTAAACTACATTGTATTAGGTAACAACATATTAGAATCACTATTTGATAAAGTTGTATAAAGAAATGTGGTGTTAAAATTATTACTATCCAAAGGAAGAAAAACTCTTTGCATATCTACTCTCAAGGTCATCAACACATGATATAAACACCTAAAAGCAAAGACAATTCTGAAGTAAAAACTAGAAAGATACTTTTATGTGTCTGCAATTCCCTCCATACTAAATTTCTTTTCTGGGTTATTTCTATTGCTGTAGGGCAACAGTTTCTATGACTGCAAAGAAGGTTTGAACATGATTTATTTCAAATATGTCACCTTGAAGGTTAAGACTCATAGGTGTTGTCCCTATTCCCCTGCTTGGCAGATCAAGGCAAAACAAAAATTTGTGATAACTTTAGGAGGTATTTGGCTACATTCTCAGCTGGTGTAAATTTTCTCAGCTTCTCTGAAGTAAGCAGAATTACTCTAGTGAACACCAGATAAGGACCAAACATTATTTATTTAACTGCCATGTATGTTTCATATCTTAAAAATAGAATCATCCTGCAAAATGAGATAATCATAAACGGTAGATTTTTACATGTTCATTTCTAGCAGAGGTGCCAGAAAACAAAACATACAGTTCAAAACAAAGGATTAAAGTAAAGGATCCACTCTTAAGAGGGGGTGGAAGGACAGAAAAGCCCTAGAGAAATCTGTGTGATCATGTTTGTCCACTGTGCTTTGAGGAACACACACAAAAAAATATATCCTCATCAAAACCACTGACTACAGAGTCATCCTCAGGTGACCTAAGAAATTTGCCTGATATAAAAGTGACCATCCTGTGAGCATTGGCTAAGAGTAAATATCTGTGGGGCTTTTCCAGTGCTAACATATCTACAGCTGAACAAAGAGACCATTAAGTTCCTCTGCTAGGCTTGCAGAGTTTCTTTTCATGATTTCTAGTTTTAATTCAGATCCTAGATTTTCAGAGCAGAAAGTAAAAAAAAATAATTGAGGTTTCCTACACAAATCATGAATAATATCAAGAAATATACAAATTAAAAAATAATACTTTTTCCCTTCAGTATCATTGAGAAAATCCTACCAAACCCCAAAATGAGTTTCTAACTTCTTGTTCTGTTTTCTACATCTGTCAAGATCACAGAATAAACAGAAAACCTGAGAAAGAGAGCACCTTCATAGATGATGTATGGATTTGAGTATTGTAATTTTCAAATTCAATTTCTGTTAATTTAAAAAAAAACGAAACAACAAATGGACAAAAAACCCACAGAAAAACCAAACCACTACATTTTTCAGATTATTTACATTCAGAGACCAAGAGACAATGAGAACTCAGTTTTATATATCTCCATGCGTAGATAACAGAAATAAAAATGATATGGTTAAGTAATGATCTCAAATGGCAGGTTACTTTTCTTGCTTTAGTCTCTTTTAGTAGTAAATGAAATTTTTCAAGTAAGGAATTCCATGAATAATTATTTTGCCAGATACATTAGATCTAGGAGACATAAAACTATAAAAAAATCAGTAAATTGTAATGATTCACTAAACAGTAGTTTTTGACTCCCCTATTTCCCCCAACCCTAAGTGCTTTTAACAACATTCATGGTCGCTCTGACTGTAACAAGAGACCAGAAACATTTTTGCATCAGCCAGCAGAAAATGAAAATCCCAAGTTTTTAGCTATATAACAATCAGTAAAATGTTACATTCAGTGACTAATTGCAGATTTTCTTAAATTATATTTATGTAACCTGGATGTAAAAGGAAAGATTTTTCCTGAAAACTAATGCTGTCTTTTTAAAATCACACCTTAGTTATTAGCATGGTCCCTGAATTCAGCTATATACATCATTCCTTCAGTCTGTAGATAACATTATTTTTATCTTGAGGTGTTCTGAATTCTTCTATATACATTGATTTCAGAAGCCCGTTTGTAGAGAAAAAGATACTTCTGTCCAACCACTGAAATAATGATTTATGTGTCCAACCTGGAGTTTGTGAATGTGATCAATATTTATTATCCACTTTTGCCTGAGTCATTAGCTAATATTCTGAACTTTGCCAGACTGCTCCTGTTAGGAAGAAACTAGTAAGAGCAGCACATCAAGTTTATTTTTATTTCTCAGGTCTGTGCTTGAAATTCAACTGTGTTTATGGAAATGGTAACAAAAACCCAGGATGTATTATTCTTGACCAGAAACTCTACCTTGCCTTTTCAGTAACATACACAGAAGGTTATTTTCTCACTTTTTTCCTCCCCAGAGCTAAACACAATGAATTATTACTTTTTGCCACAGCATCTTGGTAAATTTAACAAACAGATGCCACAGGTTAATGTCCCTGACTTTGACTTCACAATTAGAAATCCTTCAACTGATACCATCTTGATCCTTTCCAAGCAGGCAAATCCACACCTTAGGTGGTAGTCCTCTGGACAATGCTTTCTATCATTTCTACCATGAAAACACTCAAATTATCTGCCTCTCTTTACCTGATTTGCTACTCATTTCCATCAGTTTTCAACACAACAATATGCTAACAAAGTCCTCCCTTACTTCTTTCTACCAAGATGAAGGTCGCAGAAAGCAAAATATGTGGTACTTTCCTACACAAAATCCAGTAGTGAATGCTCAAGCTGGAAGAAGTGTGGTGGAAGGTGAAACAGTTGGTTGCAGTGTCCACTTTGGGACTGGGAACAGGAGAGATTTGGGAAGTGTTCCATAAAGAAAATCAAACATTTGCCTCTCACACACTTGAGTCACAAAGCCTGGAATATTTACTGTTCCAGCAAAAACACCAGGCTACAAAAATGAGGCTGTGCATTCCACCCCTAAGTAGAAGAACAGTAATTTAAGGAGTATATTTGAATGCAACATCATCACTCCAGTCACTAATGGTCTTGGTTGCTATCACTGTTTCTCACAGCAGTGTATTGTATCCATTTTTCTTCCTCAGGTTCATTATGCACACAAATGTCTCTTCACACAGAGAAAAATTATACATGCCAGAAAATTTATAATGCAAATATTCACTGCAGATTAAAATTTTATATCACAGTTATATCAGTAATATGTCTAACCTTTAACAAACGGTGGTTAGCCTCCTTCAGTGTACTCTCAAGCTTATGTTTTTTTTCTGGTTTCAGCGATGCACTTCCAAGTGCTATTCCTCCAGTTTCATTTAATCGTTTCAGTATTCCCTTGTGGGGCGGCAGCTCTCCAACTCTTAACTGGAACAGACAAATACAGCAGTTAAGATGAACTGTGGTAAGATTTTCAGCTCTCTTATCTTGACCCTTATTGATTCGTGTATCAGCCAAAGGAATAGACTCAATTCAAGACAAAATAACTTGCTTTCTGAATGTAGAAGGCTAAAAAAATCCTAAAAGAGACTGTATTGGTCAATCAAGTCTAAAGTGAGTTCTGCATGACAAAATACAGGGTTTCTCATGATATTAACCCCTATTACATTATAAATTCCAGACCTGGACACTCGTTACTTCACATATATCAGTTTTAATAATCCTGTAATATGGTATGGAGCAAGCATTTTGAAGAAGTGTTTTAATATGTTCCAGGCTGTGAACAGACACCAAGATGGAATGTGGTTAAAAGTCTTCCACTCCAGTTTAACTTCTTAATTAAGAATGTTCTTGTATGTTCACAGAAAACAAACAAAGAAAAAAAAAAATTGCAAAAAGGAAATGCAAAGGAGCATCAAAATGCACCACTTCTCAACCACCTCAACCTCAATGTTGTTACTGAAAACTTATATTGTTAAAGTAACTTAATATATCAAATAAGGTTAATGTTGCTTCAAGTGTTCTATTGTTCTGGGTTTTTTCCTTGTTTGTTCTTGATTATTAGCAAAAGCAGGTAAATATGAAATGAGGCATGCTGCAAGGTAATGCATTATTATTATTTGCTCCATTAGGATGTATTCCCTTTTGTGTAGCTCCAAAAGAAGGTGGACTGTAAAAACAAGATACAAATAAGAGACCTTGAATTTTGGATTATATCTCTCAGGAATATTATATAGGAAATATTTGTGTATGTAAAGAGTGGAGCCTTCCTGGTTCTAAATAATCTATTTAGTCGTTAAATCCTTAATCATTTCTGCAAACTGAAAGATTCATCCAACACTGCTTAAAAATATTTCTTTGCTTTGGATCTGATATCCTCAACAACAGAGCCTCACAAATTCCCTGACCAACTCAATGACATCTCCTGCTAAACAGAAGGACAAACTCACCACATGGTTGAGTCCCCATTTCCTGAAACGATTATTTATCCTATTTTCATTTAAAAAGAAACCTGAAGATAGATTTTTACTAAATAATACTTTGAGGTTTTTTTTCTAAATTGTGTTGTGAGGAGGATAGAACAAACTGACAAGTTTTCTTCATATTCTTTAATGCTCTATTCATTACTAGCTGAATATGTTCAACTAGGATTTATAGAAAGGATTACTAGATCCTTATCCTCAAGGGAGGAAAGGAAAACCTTTAGGCATATGTTCTATAAGTAACATTCTTTTTCCAATTACAGTTTAATTTATTATTGTACAAGTCTTTAAAAATAGTAATTCTACTGAAAACAATTAAAAAAACTAAACAGTGAAACTTCTGTTGAATATATTTATCAGCAGCAACAAACTCTAACATATTCATGAAAATATTCCAGCCCATAAAAACAAATATTTAATATTCTGATAGGAGTTTTTTAAGCATTCTTAAAAACAAGTCACCTAGATGCTTAGTCTAGAAAATGTTGCAGCAATATTTTAATGAGTTGACATTTATAATTATGCATGCAGTTCTGGATCCTCTTGTGAAATACTGAATACCATTTAAGTGAGAATCTATTAAATGTTAACAAGACACCTATAGAGAAATGCTATACATATAAACCAGTCATGTTCTGAACTAAGAAATGAGGATGAAAAAGGTAACAATTAATTTTCTAGTTACAGGATCTTTTTCTTTCAGTAGATTTTTCCATTTTTCCACTCCTCTGATTTTAGTACAATCAATATACATTTGTACCTGGGTTTTGAAATTCCCAGCTTTGATCTGTCTAAAACAGTTATATGAACGCTGTGTTTGATTTCAGAAACCATTTTGGAAAATAACTTTAATTTTCTTCAACGTAGAATTGATAAAGTAAGAAAATATTACAAATAGAGCTTACAATACCTTTACTTTGCTCAGGCAGTCTCTCAACTGGTCTTCATTCCCTTGTTCAAGGGGAATACAAACAATGCTGTCTGCTTCCTCTAACCATAAAATCAACTTGTTCAAATCCTCTTGAAATTCTGACAAAATATTCTTTTCTTCCTCAATCCTGCAATAAAAATGTGAAATTAATGTTTCTATATTTTTTTTATATTTAAATGTTTATCTGTACTAAAGGATGGCTGATAACTAATTCTAAGAATTTATACTAATTATTGTTATAATTGGGCCACAGATTTCTTCATATCAAAAATATCAGACAAACACCAATGCTCTCTTAACATGGTATTAAATGTATTTTAAAATAAAAGATCAAGGTGCAATTTACAACACCACTAAATTCAGCTTCCAAATTACATATGACAGGTAGTGAACAAGCACACCAGAAATAAAGCAGCTAATTATTCAGACTAAAATTCTGTTTGAAGTAAAAGCAGGAAAGCCCAGTGTTGACAACTAAGAATTCTAGCATCAAGTGTTACCAAATAACCTGTACAAACTGACACAGACTCATTTGGACATATTAAACAACAAGATATTTAAGTAACTGTGCCATATAGTTTGGTGTTAAGATTCACAAAAAGTAGGTAAGGTTTGCAGTTGGTAAGTAGGAATAAGATGGGATTCACAACACCTAACTTTAGATGTCTGCTCTACATTTGTCTCCATCTACAAATCATCTGCTCATTTTAACTATGACTATATTAATATACTGAGATGTGAAATTTTGTGCAAAAGCTTCTGAAGTTATCCAGAGATGCAGGCAAAAAATTTCAAGAGCAAAAGGGACGGGCATTGGTAGAATGTGAATGCTTGGGTTTAACATTTCAAGTGGGCCCTTCTAAAGGAGAAAAATTATGTTTTGTATAAAATACTTGTAATTTATCCACCAAAGTTATTCAAACACTGAGAATTACCTGTATGGAAAGGTGAAAGATTAAATACTTATCAAAATTAAACAATGAAAAGCAGTTCCTACAAGGTGGGATAATTTTTTATCATGCTAGTTTCTTCCCATACACAACTGGCTCATGTGGTATCAGGACATTCACACTCACACAAAGGCCTGAAGATATTCATCCTTTCTAATGGGGAATAACTGGCCCAAATACACTGGTCTGACAGGCAGCTGTCCTGTTTCAGAAAGTGTTGTAAACAATCAAAAATACACAAATTGCCTTCAGAGTCATTTCTGGAGCCTTCCACCAGAGTGGAAGATGCACCACTTCTGCATCATCCACAGCGCTGCAGCCGAGAGTGTTTAGGTGTCCCCGCTCCAGGGGAGGTACCTGGGCATTCCCACCTGAACATGAACATGTTGAGGTGAACTCATGAACCTCATGAACATGTTGAACTTGATGTCATTCAGGCTTCCCTCACCCCCAGTGGACCAAGACTGAGATCATCACTTTGGCCAATGGGCATTAAAATCACTACAATCAAATCATGTTGCCTGAAGGGCTTTTTTTTTTATTTCCACTTCACTATCTACTCTTATCCTTTCTTTTTCTTTCTTTTCCTTAGAAATTTTCTGAAGTGACATCTTTATACTTCTATACTGTTTCATTTCTATAGATAATAACCAGAATGGCTACACACCTCCTTCCCACTGCAATCAAATTGCTCTAAAATAAACCTGCCATGTAAACACAGATAATTGGTCATTGAGTGTTGTTTCACTCTAATCTGCCCAAAGAGATTTACTACTAACAAGGAGTTTTCACCCTGCCCTCAGGAGTGGTTTGTAACAATATCCAACCTAAACCTCCTTCAGCCCAATTTGACATCATTCTCTGTTGTCCTATCCTTTCTCTCTGGGGGAAAGGGACCAACCCTCACCTCACTACAACCTTATTTCAGGGAGTTGTACAGTGATATGATCTCCCCCTCAGCCTCCTTGACCAAAGAGAAAGTATATTTTCAACATGTGAAAGTCAATATTCATAACTACACTTAGAGCATGAAAATGCTGTGTTTAATTTATATATAAATTGAAACGTTTGGCAAATTTTTGCTGCTCTGCACAGAATCTCAATAAAGTCCTAGATCATGTTCCTGGTTTAGATCTAGAATGGAATCTAAGTCAGCAGATCCATTTGATTTTGTTCTTAAAACAGTATATCTTAATATTTACTAGACATATGAGCCCAATACTGTTTGTTTTGGTTTTTTTTTTGAGTTCAGAAACAAGTTACTCTGCACTATCTTTACACTTATATATAAGTGTATATATAGGTACACCCATATATACACACATATACACATTTATACAAATAAATACATGAAGACCATTAATGGCAAAAGTATTAACAGTCCTATTTTCTTGGTTTTGCCTTAGATTTTATGATGAAATCCTGTATGACTGTTTCCAGGAACTGCCATTTGCCCAGGATTTCTGGAAATGCAACTGATATCAATAAAAAGTCCTGATGCTTCTAGATATAGGAATATTTCTTGTACTAACATATCTATTTATAACAACTCTGAATCTCTTATGGAGTACTGTTATGCAGACAGAAGTTCTGGACCTTCCTGATTCACACAGATTTCCCAATTTTGTGTTTGGTTGCACAGGTCGTGACAAAAAGAACCATCATTTCAGCATCACATTTATTACACGGTTCTTCACTGCAAAGTGCTTGTGTTCATGACTTGAGAGGTCATATGCTCTTCTCAAGACAAAATAGGTCATCTAAAACCAGCTAATCAAAACATTTATTTCTGTGAAAATTAGGCAGATGTTAATCTGTGCTGATATCCATAGCACTGCAACTGTAAAAATGAAGAAAAACTAACTTCCTGTAATCCTGAAGAACAAGCACAACTTCAAATCTTTCTGAGGCAGTTTGGCTCCCTGCTCCAGTTCTGGAAATCTGGGAATCAGGCATCCAGTGTTACACCATAAACCACATAATAAAACCTCTGTCTCTCAACCTGATCAGGTTTTTGGTTTCCTCTCACTGCTACTCATTTGTGAAGTGCATAGTTCAGTGGAGGCATTATGTGATGGCACCCCTGAGAATAAACGTGAGAAAGATCCAAGTTTAAATATGTTAATTCTGGCACAGAAAAGGCGTAGCATTCAACTCAATACACCCAAGAGCAAAATTACTGAGCTGCACAGTATTTTGAATGAGAAATCAAAAAGATTTCTTGTCTCCTAAAAGAGATAGCAATTGGCAAGATTCCTTTTTCATCTTAAGTACACTGTCAGTTTTATAACCCTTATGAATTGAGCTGCAATTCTTAATACATTAAAAGTTTTTCTAGTTGTGGAAGAAATAATTTTTTACTTTGATGACTAATTTAAATGCTGATCAGTAGGATAAGGATGTTTTTAACCTAAGACTTCCCAGGAATTCTTTCAGTGAGAGATGTTTTATATGTATATATATACATAGCCACATATATGTATACACATATAAACACACACGCATATCTATCTATCTATCATCTATCTATCTATCATCTATCTATCTATCATCTATCTATCTATCATCTATCTATCTATCATCTATCTATCATCTATCTATCATCTATCTATCATCTATCTATCATCTATCTATCATCTATCTATCTATCATCTATCTATCATCTATCTATCTATCATCTATCTATCATCTATCATCTATCTATCTATCATCTATCTATCTATCATCTATCTATCATCTATCTATCTATCATCTATCTATCTATCTATCTATCTATCTATCTATCTATCTATCTATCTATCTATCTATCTATCTATCATGTGTGTGTCTATCTATCTATCATCTATCTATCTATCATCTATCTATCATCTATCATCTATCTATCATCTATCATCTATCTATCATCTATCATCTATCAATCATCTATCTATCATCTATCTATCATCTATCTATCTATCTATCTATCTATCTATCTATCTATCTATCTATCTATCTCATGTGTGTGTGTGTGCACAGATGGGTTTCAGAGTTCAGAAAAAAAAAATAAATCCATAGATCTACTTTATTCTAATCAGGAACAACATGCAGAGAAGGAATTTAAAGGTTCATTGCAATTAACAGGACATGCAGGTGCACCTTATAATTTACTTTACCATCTCTTCTTGACCTGGTAGAATGTTACTTCTATTATAGATAACACCCTGCAAGACAAGTGTCATATTATGCAAGACACTAAAACAAAGTGCTCTGTGTTAGCTGAACGGGTTAATCGAATTAAAAGTTTTAACTCAATGACTGATTACACCTTTTGAACAAACTGATTTCTATCACCACAATTACCTGTGGAACAAGAGACACACGTAATTTCTAGGTGTTTAAATTCATGGTGGCAATGAAAAATTAACTGGTTTTGCTTAGGGAATATGGGCTTTCAAATCCAAACCTAAACAAGCTGGAGGAAGGAACATGAGCCACCAGTCAACTCAGACTTGGACAGAGCAAGAGAAAACAGTTGCTGGAGAAGCAGGTGATTGAGAAATAAGATCTAATTCCAGCAGCTGGCCATGTAGAGCCAAGAAGATCCATCTCCAGCACAGGTCTTCAAGCTGTTCTATACTTCTGCTTTATCCTTACAAATCTACCTAAGTTCCCAAAAAAACTTTTAAACTCCTTCTCTGCTGCTAAAAGGTTTATTTCACTAACCCTGAAATATAACCCATTTTTGAGTGATAGAAAATTCTCAAACTATAGCAGAGAAGCCCAGAATTTCATACGCAACTTTTCATCTTCTACACAACTGTTATTCTTAGGCACATTGCTTTGTACTTTCCATAGTAAAACATAGCAGATTTCTGTTTGCATTTCTAAATTCATAGGGTCGCTTCACCAACTATTCTGAATGCACATCTTTTTATAGGAATCTTATCTACATTATACTTTTGTAAGCAAACGTATCAATATTCAATATTTAATACAAAGTAATAAATTAATTATTCTTTCCTAATTCATTTTGTATACATGATAATTGATAGATTAAGGATTAGTTTTCCTACCATTATTAAACTGATTCAATAACAAATTCTTATGTAGTCCACACATTTTCCAAATGACCATGGGAAGATTTGTTTCTTTTAAACTATCATTATTCCTTAGTTATATTTGTTAACCGCTACATAAG